GTTTAGGTGACAGTGCATTGCAGTACTTTGTGGAAAATGAATGAAGAGAGCTGCATTCTCCAGGTCATCAGCCATCCATTTTCTTTTACTGGTTTTTTTTTTTTTTAATATAAATCTGAGGGAAGAAGAGTAATCTTTTCTTGTCCTTTGCTAAGGAGTATCGTTGATGGCAGTTTTCATGGTACAATAAATGGGGTAGGATAAGTAAAAATAATCTAGGTGTAATATTTCATCTCTACCTTCCTTTTCAAAAAAGAGTTCTTTACCCAAGTTTCATTTACTTAGAGGTATGTGTGCCTGTAATTTCCTTTTCTGTTCTGTTAATTTCAGTTCAGTTCCTGTTCTCTCCTAAGATAAAACATGAATTCAAAATAAATGTCTTTGTTTTATAGAATATTGATAATCTTCAAATGATTCTCTGCTATTATCATAAGAGAGTCTGCATTAGACAAAATTTTGAGTAGGAAACTCATGAGGACCCTTCAATCTCAAGGTTTTATATGTTGTATTCATTAATGATCAGTGCAGATATTTGTCAGAGTTGCCATTTTTAGGATGAAATGACTGTAGTGTCATAATTAGACATTGCATCTGGTGCAAATGCTTGGGGGATCATTCACCAGGTTCATAGATGGAAACCATGGGGTATATCCGCCTTTTATCCTTTCCTTCATTTTCCTACTCTCCCTGCGAGCCTGGGGAAAGGAGAGTCATGAGCAAGATGGGGACATACACACAAAAAATCGCTGAAAATTCAAGGTGTCTTCCCTCCTAGGATCCTGGCTTTGATTTCAAACTTCATAGCTGAAGAAGTATTCATTTTTGTCACCTAGGAAAATAGCAATCCCACCTGTGAGGCGCTTGTCTTCCTTCTCATCGCTGCCTCGGCACTAGTCCTCTTAAGATGTTGTTTTTTCACCCCTGCTTTAGATGTCCTTTTTAAAGTTAACTTTTGAAATAGAAAGATTATTATTCATATCTTCAGCAACTTGTTGGTCTTCCACAAAGAACTTTAATTTGCAAATTTTACCAAAATGTTAAGACCAATAAGCAGTTTTATTATTATTTTTTACACATGTAATTTTAGCTTCTGCTTCAAGATTTAATATTTGTGGAAATTTTTAAACATGCCTTGTAATTTATTTGTTTTTGTCTTGCATATTCAGGATCACAAACTCTGCACCACTGGCAGCAGCTTGCTCAACCAAATTTAGGAACCATTCTTGACCCACGACCAGGTGTTATCACTAAAGGCTTTACGCAGTTGCCCAAGGACACCATCTATCACCTCTCAGATTTAGAAGAGGATGAAGAGGAAGGTATCACTTTTCAGGTTCAGCAACCTCTTCAAGTGGAACAAAAACCTACAGATTCCAAGCCAGTAACAGGGATCTCTCTACCACCCATTACTTCTGCAGGTGGTCCAGTTACAGGTGAGAAGTGCGCTTGGTTGAATATAGTCTAGTAATTAGTAGTACTTTGCATCCCGNGAATATGGGAGCAGAATTTTTGGTTTTTAACTTTTTAATTTTGACATAATTTTAAATTTAGAATAAAATTCCATCAGTAGTACAAAAAATTCTCATATATCTTTCACGTAGATTCCTCAGTTTTTAACATCTGTGATATCACTCTCTTATTTTCTTCTGGGCCATTTAATAGTAAGTTGCAGATACACCCTATTACTCCTTAAAGCTTCAGTGTGTATTTACTAAAAACAAGGACACTCTCCTATATAATAGTGCTACAACCATCAACATCAGGAAGCTGTTACTGATATAATACATGATAATTGCCAGATGGTGATTTTCTAATTTCATCATGTTTCAGCATTTATTAATTGCCATTCTTTTGTGAGTTAGAGCTTTCTGTCTCATTTATTCATGTGTTCATTTAGTTATTTCAATATGGACTCATGGATTTCTATTTTAGTCAATGGATTATAATTTATTACCACTGTTTTTTATTTTGATATTCAGAGTGTCCCACATATGGCCAGTGGGATCTGCTTCCAGCTCGTCTTGCCCTTTCCCTGTCATAGTCCTGGAATTGGCCATTTCGTCCAAGTTGCTCTGGTTACTTTTAATGAGGAATGGTATTTAGAATCCAAGATCCTGGTGCTCTGTGTCTAGTGCTTCCAGGCCTTCTCAGCAGGTAGAGCTAAGAAATATATGTATGTTCATACCTACACCCACACAAACACATCTATATCTATATTTTCATCCACACTGTTCACACTAGTACCTCCAACCCCAGTCATTGGCAGCTCAGCCCCACTGAGTGTGCCACCATGCTATTTGAATCCTCATTCCTGACCAGAGAAAGGGGAAGCTTGTTTATTTTTCTTTTAATGATTTTTCTATATTATAAAAGCTATACATGTTAATTATAGAAAAGTTAGAAATTACAGAGAAACAATAAGAAATTGTGAAATATCATCAAATCCTGACCTCCACAGAATCACTGTTAACATCTTGTTTTGTAGTCTTTCACACCTTTTTATTTGTGTGTGTCTACATGTGTAATATTTTCTATTTATCATATTGGTTTTTGCCACTGATTTCCTGTAAAAATATACTATGAAAAAGTAGTTGGTTCCTGTTTAAAAGTTACATTTCTGGAATGTCTCTTTTTTCTTCTTTATTTTCTTGTATTTTCTTTATTATAACACCAAAAGTACTGGATTTTGGAGACCCTGTTAATTCATTTAAGGACAATTCTTTTTTTTTTTCCAAACAGTGTTCTTACATAATCACTGTAGGAATCTCAAATTCTTTTTCTTAGGAATCTTTGGCAGCTGAGATTGAGGGGACCATGCGTAAAAAGCTGAGCTTGGATGAGGAATCTTCTGTCTTTAAACAAAAGTAAGTACAGATCAGATGTGTTGTTACTCAACCACTGGGATGGAAATTTAAAAGAAGCCACAATCCAAAGTGATAGGTATTATGTGATTCAGTTGTAAATCTGCTTTCTTTTCAGTTGTTTTCCTTAGTGCTCACATTTTCAAGAGAGTTCCTTATTCTCAAGTTTATTTTCTAATGATCTCTCCTGAACTTTAGAGGCTATTCAGTGTGGCTTTATTTTTAATAAACTGCACATACGTGTCTCTTTTCTAAAGCACTCCAGCAGTAGGCAGTGGCAATAATGAACACTTCTTTTTTGATAGAGCCCAACAGAAACGGGTGTTTGATACTGTCAGGATTGCCAATGACACACGGGGCCGCTCTGTCCCATTCCCAGCTCTGCTGTCCATTCCAGGCTCCAACCATTCAAGTGTCATCATGACAGCAAAACCTTTTGAGTCTGGTTTACAACAAGCAGAG